CATTCAGCAGATATTAAAATCTCAGCAGATCAGTTCATTAGCCCTTAGTCTGGAAAAAGATTGTTCTATTGAATGCTTTCCATGAAATTGCCATGCCATTTAGCATGACATCGAGGCTGTATTATTCACTCCAAATCACTTTTATAGACTTGTCACCTATTCACTGCCTGCAGAAAAATACTGATCGAGTCACACAGATTCACTCTTAAATCCTAAATGGGACATACGTTTTTATGACATGATTCCTTTCCTATATTCAGTAACAGTCTTTACCCATCCTTTAACTGAACTCAAAATTTTACTTCCTCTGTGATGTCACTCCCCATTCCGTCCCCATTCCCCATTCAAACTGTCATATTTCTTCCTCTAAATCTTTACAGCAATGTCTTAGGTCTCTTTTAAGCATTAGTTTGACTCAACATTAGTATTATTTGTTGAGTTTAAATATCTTTGTAAGTGGTATTAGAAGTTATTTCCTTATACCTTGTTGCCTAGCACAGTAATATGAATACAAAAAGAAAGCCAAAAATAGGTTAAATTAAATTGAATTATACAAAGTTACATTTAGGAATTTACTAAATGGGAGCGTTGCACAATGATGATATCGAAAAACAACCATATGTGGCTATATCCTGGCATCAACTTTTTTTTGCTGTTTCATATCAGATAAAAACATGACACTAAGGACTCCTCAAGGTTAATCAAGATGGCTCACTGCTACTCCCTTGAGATAATCCACATCATCTCTTCACATTGCACGTTTTCAAACCAGAAAACCTGGAAATGACACTTTCTATGTGTTTAAATATCAGAAATTCTCCAGTGCAATCTTTGGCTCTCGTATTCCTCATTTCAGAATGCTCTTCTGGAAATGAGAAGACACCTGGGCCCCCTATATAACTCATCTTTTTCCATCAATATAGTGAAAAAAGTTTCACTTCAACATTAATGGGGAATCTCGTATTGATTTGTATGCAAAAGTATAATAGGAATTATTATGCCTGTACCTGAGAAGAGGCATCGCCATAGCAGGGTGGCATAGAAAAAAAAATCTGCAAGCTTTGAAGGCAGACAGTCCTGAACTGAATTCATGGCCACTATTTCTCAGCTGTATAACATTAGGGTACTTCAGTTGCTGCCTAAATCTACTTTCTTTATTCATAGACTAAGAACAGTAAAGAGCTATTTTGCAGTATTATTACTTAAATTAAATGACAGATTATAATAAAAATGCCTTACATTCGACTACCTTATGCCAGATGTTTTCCATATATGAAGCTTATATTCTTGGTTCTTTATGACAAAAACCCATGACATATTGAGCCTAGGCACATATGAAGAAACCAATACTTATTTATCCTTTACATAATAAGTTTTGATAACCTGTAGACAGACACATAATCAGATAATTATCAAATCATCAAAAATAATCAAATAGATGTAATAATAGAGTTATTAGAGTAATTTGAAAACACAAAGAACTAGTAGTAAATGTTGGAGCCTTGAAGGGTAGATAGCACTGCTTTTTTCTACTTGTCTCTTAAATTATGACAATGAATCAAATAACTAGAAGTGAAAAATACACGTTTTAATACTGATAAATTGTGGGATTGCGGTACATAGTTCAACGGGAGGGCAAAATGGATTTACCGACTCCTATGTTGAAACAGAAGTAACCAGTCCTAAGAACTGTGAGCCATCCCAAGAGAAGGGGGTCTTAATGCTCTACTTGTGAAATGGCCCAGAGCAGTGATGATGGCAAACTCTCAGCTGGAATGCTGGACCTCAGAGAAAAAAGAGAAAAGTGGACCTCACGTGCCTAGCTCATTCTTAGAAAAATTATCAGGTAAAAATATGTCACCTTCCTGGAGTGGAATAAGTGGAGAGATGAAAGAGGCCAAAATAACTTACTACAGTTCTTTTGGAATTAGAGTGGGAAGGAATAATTCTGTCTCTAAAAATACCTAATCTATTTTAGGCAAGATGACCACATATTTGTATTTGCCAGGATTTTCTTAGTTTACACCTGTTTTCCCAGTGTAATTATGCATTGTGTTCATTTTTATTCTCAAAAGAGTTCCAGTTTGCATGATAAATTATGTGGTCATCTTAATATCAGAGGATAAGGCAGATTTCTCTGGAGGTACAGATTGTGGCACGGTCTTTCAGAATGAGTAAGAGCTATTGCATCTACGAGAGAACTGATGAGGCATAGGAATGAGGAAAGGGAGAGGGATGGGGAAAGAGAAGCACAAACCTCAGGAAAGCATGGAGAAATGGCTGAACAAAGAAAGTGTGGTTTGTGCTGAAATTACAAAAATGTATATGCTGCTACAGCATCAAACGTAAGAGAAAAATGGTAAAAGAAGAAACTAAATTTGGGTTTCTATTAGGAAAAAGGGAAGATGGGATCCTTTGCTACTTACAGGCTTTTTTGTAGCACAGCTGAAAATATCAATTATTTTCATTTCAACATAACTTGACTGGCTTCTAAGAACCTTCACAAAAATATGACTAAGGATATATACACACACACACACACACACACACACACACACACACACGTATATATATATCTTGATTTCTTCTATTATTTCCCTATTATTGTAGCTTGTAGTATATCGTTTCTTTATCAGATAAACTAAAGGAATATTTTGGGACACTTAAATCATACTGTAAAACATTGAAAACATTGTTAGAAGCATTGTTAGAAGCATTTTGATTTTTTTAATTATTCCAGAACATTTAAAAAATTTATACTGTGTTTAATCTGGTGGGATTTAAAAAAAAACTTTAAGAATCCTTTTCTCCAGACAAAGTTACATATTTCAATCAAATTTCACCTTTTATTTATCAAGTAGCACTAAGTCCCACTGTAAAAATATTTATTTATTCACTTAACAGAAATGGGAAGATACTTCTTAGTTTTACCCCATTCTGCTTTTTCTCAATTTCTATCCATTAAGCCCCTACTAATCTCCCAGATGTTTTACACATTATCATTTTATTATCCACAATAAGATACAAGTCCTAGGTTTATACACAAGGAATTAAACACTCAGATATGTAAGATAATATTTAACCTAAATCTTGTCACCAATAACTATCAAAACTTGACTTTAAATCCAAATCTGTTTGCTTCAAAATCAAATGCCCTTTTGACTACAACATATGGCCTCCTTTGCATTACCATGATTTTTATTAGATTCAAAAAGAGTCTTAGAGTGTTTCTTAAAACACGATTTGAACTTTAGCTGTTTTTAAATTATTCAACATACGGGACAGTCATATCAATCAGAAGAAATCAAATGATGATTTAATGATAACCACATTAAACCAGTTGTACACCCGTAAAAATACATCACAACTTCGTATTCCCAGAAAACTTTCTCCACCACCATAATTTTTAAGAACTAGAACAGAAACAAACAAGAGGAGGAAGAGATGTTTCCACTGTTTCTCTTCTATAACCCTAAAGTATTGTCTGCTTTATCTCCTAGTGTCTCTATCGCTGCCTTCATTACTAAATCACTATTTAGTGGAGTGCAAAATTATTCCTCTTTGCTACTCACTCTTTTTCTCTTTCACCTCATTTGAGCCAATAGAAATGTTGTTTGAGAGGCAGAAAACAAATCAGATTGAAATAGTCCTATATTACTTCTGAGACTGCTCTAAATTTCAAGCTAATCTATTTATATTTTGTCATTAACTATGCACTCTTTAAAATAATTTCCCAATTATTTTTCACATAAAAAACTTTCATGTGAACCTTTAAAATGTTCTGAGTCAGACAGAAAAATATTTCTATTTTGACAGACAATAGCTATACATTACCAAGTGCAGCAACAATTTAGAAAGTATGCATTCATTCTAAGACCTGACTCACAGACAAGAACAAACAAATATGAAAGACTGTGATCCTTGAACTGTATGAAAAGAATCCTGAACTTTTATGCTTTTATAATCTGGGAGTGATTGTATGAGTACTATGTTGAAATGTTAGAGGATAACTAACAAATTATGCAGGACTAACAGTATTTGATCAATGATATTTTGTTATGTTTATTTGTCATGGAGAGTCCGTGAAAAGTAAAATGTCACATGAGACTTTCCAATATCTCCCATCTATCAACCAAAATGCCCCTTGTGTTTAACGTAGATACCTCATGGCACATTTTAGTTAATACTTTTGTTTCTTCCCAGTATCTCTCATTCAAAATACTCTAAAAAATCAAATCGATAGATGATTGTTCCAAAAAGTTTTTGCTTTATCATCCAAAACTCAAATAATTTTAACCATTTGTAGAGGACTAATTTTGAAAAATTCCAACTGTTTTTTAAGGTTCCACTCTGAACCATCTCCTAACATAACAACTATGTGATGAAAAATTAAATACAGGACTCACTTAGATTCCCACTTATAATTAATAGATTAACTCCTACTCCTAACATGGGTAAACTCCATCATGATCCTTAAAAACTGAGTCCAAAATATTAGCAATGGCTAATAATATTTGCTTGAAAATTTCTCTGAATCCGATACCTTAAAAAAAAGTCAAATTTTATACCCTGAAAACGCCTATTTTTATTATTTATACATCAGTTTTAGTTATTTTATCCCTTGCTCTTCAGTTTGCCATAGAATTGCATGCCTACTGATACAAGGAAACAGAACAAAGAAAATAAATATAAGTCAAAATTTCTGGCTTTCAAGTAAAATAATATAGAAAAATTATGGAAAACAGCAAGGACCACTGTGAAACAACAGAAAATATTTTCTTGTTGAGGGTTGGAGGAGAGCTGGAAGGGAATAAAGAGATCACTGAAGTGACTATGGCTGAGGAAGGAGTGTGAGCCCCACCTACCACTGGGGTTCTCTCCTGCAAAGCTTCAGTGGGGCAAAGGATGACTGAGGCTCCTAATTTAATGGAAAATATGGTTTCCATAGAAATTGTATGGAAATTTCTAATTTTCTAGAAAACAGAAAAGTGGAGAAACATACCTCATATCAGAATCCCAGAGAAGCAGGAAGATCACAGACATGGTTGTATGATTCATTTGGGCAGTTTCCCCACTTCCTGGTATGGAATGAAAGATTACCCATGAGCAGAATTGCAAAGACATGTAGGCAAAAAATGCCACCTTTATTGTTGTAAGCCCAGAAGTTTAAAAGGTGGGGTTGGGTGGAGTGGGTGACCAAGCAACCATTCTCTAGGCAGATACCATGATATATATAAATCTCCCCAGAATGTAGATGCACCTCTAAGAACATAGAGAATGATCCTGTATTACTGGAGTTGTTTATTGGTTTTGGTTTTGGACTTTTGTTGGTTTTACCACTCACAGAATAAATTCTGGACATTAAGTAATATAAGTTAGAGAAAAATCAAGAAATGTGTTTATGTTTTAAATTGATACCTGCAATAAAGTATTCATCAAGTATTACAATAATTATCATTATACATTTTTTTTTACCAAATTTGGGTTCAATAAAACTAGATGACATTTATTTTGTATTTACTCTTAATCACTTACTATGTTCAACATTTTATACACATTATCTATTGTAATCCTCAGAAAAATCTGATAAGGTATTACTATAATTGCTAATTTGCTGATGAAGATAATGAGGCTTAGAGAGGGTTAGTAAATTAAGGTCATAGAGTTAGTAAGGGACAAAGTTAAGGGCTCAGATCCACCTGTTTGCATCCAAAATTAATGTGTTTAATCCATGTGCAGTGCCAATTTAATGCAGAAAGGAGACACTACCTAAACATTTTCTAGAAACAAAGAACTTTATCTTATTCTTTATATAAAGTGCTATTGCTTAGAATAAATCTTTCTCAAAAAAAAATGTTAAAGCTTAATCATCTTCATTTCTTCCACTTTTAAATGTGGCCCATACAGATACCACACCCTTGTCTTTGATATAATGGTCAAAGACATGCTATCCAATTCTTTTTTATGAGTTTTAGTTATTTTCAAAAATAATTAATTTGGGGTTAACTTTTTATACCCATTTGCTTTTTCTCTCTGGACGTTCTTCAGTGTTCCCTACAATGTTGAAAATTTATTCTTAAAGTTCTGTACTGTATAATTTTAATAATCACTCTTTTGTTCTGTCATAAAATGCATTTAATTTTTGAAATAAAAATCTTTTTTATTAAATTCATCTTCACATCATGATTAGTGTTCCAATCCAATAGTCTGAGTAAGAATGCGGAGAATATTCATGATATGAATTTAATTGAGTAAGGAGGATATTCAACACTAATCAGCTGAGAGAATGGTGATTAACAAGGCTAAGGGCAAGAGAAGGAAGTAGGGATTTGGGGAAAAGTTGGATTTCTGTGTAGAGTGTATTAAATATAGAGGTAATTTGGAGATGTCCAATCAACTTGGAGAAATTCAGCTTTGTGCCCCCAGAAAGAGGACCAAACTAGAGGCCAATATAAAAAGGAAGAAATGGGCAGATGGCTGGAGTCTTAAGAAAAATTTTTCTGACACTCAAATGTGCTCACAAGAAGACTGCAGAAATTCCAAGGTCACCAGAATAACCACTCAATGAATTCTGAATCTCTTTTCTGTCATTTTTCCTACAAATATTATTTTTGTTCATTTATTGACAGAGTGTTTTTTCTTTTATTTTTAGTTGACACAAAATAATTGTATACATTTATGGGATGCAGAATGATATATCAATACATGTATACAATGTATAATGATCAAATCAGGGTAATTAGCATATTCATCACCTCAAACATTTATCATTTATTTGTGTTGGAAACATTCAAAATGTAGTCTCCTAAGTTTTTGAACATATACAACAAATTATAACTAACTATATTCACCCGACAGTGCTGTAAAATACTAGAATTTATTTCTTCTATCTAGCTGTAATTTTGTATTCATTAACCAACCTGTCTCCATCCTTCCCTCCCCATTCCTCTTCCCAATCTTTAACAACCACAATTCTGTTCCCTACTTCTTTTTTTCTTTCTTTTTTTTTTTTTTTTTTTTTTTTTCAGATGGAGTCTTGCTCTGTCACCAAGGCTGGAGTGCAATGGCGCGATCTTGGCTCACCGCAACCTCCACCTCCAGGGTTCAAGCCATTCTCTTCCCTCAGCCTCCCAGGTAGCTGGGACTACAGGCATGCGCCACCATGCCCCGCTAATTTTGTATTTTTAGTAGACATAGGGTTTCACCATGCTGGCCAGGCTGGTCTCAAACTCCTGACCTCAAGTGATCTGCCCGCCTCGGCCTCCCAAAGTCCTGGGATTATGGATGGGAGCCATCGTGCCCAGCTGTTTCCTACTTCTATGAGCTGAATTAATTTTTTAGTTTCCACATATAAGTAAGAACATGCAGTATTTATTTTCTGTGCCTAACTTATTTCACTTAATATGATGTGTTCCAGGCATATCCATGTTTCCACAGATTACAGGATTTCATCTTTTTATGGCTGAATAGTATTCCATGGTGTATATATAGTGCATTTTCTTTATCCATTCATCTGTTTTTGGATACCTAGGTTGATTCCATATCTTGGTTATTGTGAATAGTGCTTCAGTAGGTACGGGGGTGGAGATACCCCCCACAATACATTCATTTTCCTTCATTTGGATAAATGCCAAGTAGTGAGATTGCTGGATCATATGGTAGTTCCACTTTTCGTTTTTTGAGAAACCGCCATGTTTTTCATAATGGCTATACTAATTTACATTCCCACCAACAGTGTACACCAGGTCCTTGAATAATGTTATTTGCTCAAGGTCGCTTCATTATAACATTGATGGGGAAAAAAAAGTTGATTCCTGGCTGTGCCATTGTCCTGTGGAGTTTGCACATTCTCCCCACATATGGTAAAAATATTTCATTATATACCATTGTGTTTAAAGTCGCAGTTTCCAAGAACTAATGGACACCATTAAGTCAAGACTTACTATATAAGAGTTCCAAGACTTACTATACAAGGGTTTCATTTTCCCTACATCCTCACCAGCATTTGATACTTTTTGTCCTTTTGATAATAACCATTCTAACTGGGGTAACATGATATCTCATTGTGGTTTTGAAAGGCCTTTCCCTGATAATCCTTCCAATATTCTTTATCCACTTTCCTATCAACATGTGTAAAACCCAACTCCTTTGTTTCAAATATGTGGAGGGTCTTTCCAAGCCAACAATAGTATCAAATGATCTTGAAGAAGCAAAACATGTAAATTATATGAACACAAAGGATGTTAAAAAGAAGTTATAAAAACCTTGAAATATACCAAACTAGACTTGTAACACATTTTTCTACAAAAAGCAGAAAATTTTGAATGTTATTGTTTTAAAGAATATCTATGCATATGAGTCCTTTCCTCTCTATGTATTTGTTCAAAGATGTGCTTACTAGAGTAGTAGCTACACTGATAGATTAAGCATTTCCTTTCAGTTTCTTAAACTACTAGACTGGCAATTTTTATACAATATTCAGATGTCTGGAGGTTGTAGGGTTTAATTCATACAATATTCAGATGTCTGAATGTTTTCAGGATTTTAAGCTGAGAATGAAATATAATTTGTTACATTACTGCACCTGACAGACTGTTGCCCATTGAAATTATTCCCACCACTGTACTTTTAGGTTTCTGTCTCTAATGAAGCAATACAAGTTGGCTTCACCACGAATTAGCAAAGGTGCCATTAACAATAGCGTTCAATTAATGCTAACATTTTCAACTTGTCTCATACCTCAAATTTTAATGGTTCCTTCTTAAATATTAATAACAGTAGGTACCATTGTAATAGCTGCTATAGAAACTCAAAGGGGGGTGTTAGCTATTATTAGTTTAAATTATAACACTAAAGAAACTCAGGGGTTCAAATTAAAACCCTCCACTATACATCTGAAAGGATAATGTAAAACACTAAGAAAAGAACTGCAATGAATGGAACTGGGGTGAGAAGAAGGAAAGTAACATTTTTTCTAAATATTTTCTATTTTAACTTTTCTATTTAAAGAGAGACACAAGAACTCACACTTATTCCAAGCTTCAGAAATGCTCAATTATTCATATGGAACAAAAAAATAAATAGACCCCAGATGCAATCAGACACCTGGTGGATCAGTCCCTCAGAAGGAAACTAAGAATATGTAATGTTTTCTCTTTGATACTCACAGAAAGAAGCTCTGTGAAGAATATAGTCACGTCTTATCTGGGACCTGGACAGAAGAGATATAAGATACACTGTAGGCATTTTCAAAGAAAGCCTGGACTTCTTGATTAACATTCCAATTTCTAAAAAACAGTTATCTATGGCTTTTACAATTTTTATTTTTGCAAGCCCATTACCCTTGAAAACTGATTATCCTGCATTATCCCAAATAAGATAGAGAGGAGAACTAGATGGGAGCATCTGGTGGTATAGCCATTCAAAAGTTACAAAGGCCACAAGAAAAGTTGAGAAGTTGATTGCTACCTCTGCCTAAATAAAAATAACCTAAAAGCCACCAAAATATTAAGAAACATGTCCTGTGACATAATTTCTACACTGTTTTCTAATCCAATAAAGGCCCTCTCTTACTCTCCACTCTACCTTTGCTTAAGCTGTTTCTTCTACATGGAAACCTTTTAGGACCCCTTTTGTCTCCCCAAACCACAGGTATCATCCAGAACCAAATTCATGTTATCTTGTTCTGGAAATTACTAATCAAGTTATTCTATCCCAAAAGGGGCTGCCTTCAACCCTTTCTGCACTGATATTTTTGGGAAGCTTGGCTTGTATCTCTCTTTTTTATTGTTGAAATTGTCCCCCAGCTGGAACACAAATACTTTGAGAACAAATGCATAAGTGTCATATCATACCTCTGATAATGGTAATAAAGGAATCTGTAGATAGCTAAACCAGCTAACACACTGATCTGCGAGTCTTGGCTTCTCACTTACCAGCTACATACTTTTGGGCAAAGATACAAGTGTTATTTGCTTCACTGTCTTTCTTATAAGGACTAAGTAGGATCTTATAAGTAAAGTAGTTAGCACATGCGTAGCATACAATAAGAACTTAATAAATATTAGAGGGTATAGAATTCATTCAGCAAAGAAAAGCATAGATGAACCAATTTGTAAAACTTTAGGGGGCATTATTCATATTGAAGTCAATGTGAATAGCACCATGGAGCTCTACCTTTATATTGCGAATTGCATAGATATATCACATTCATGATCTTTTTTTCTTTTGTTTGACTCTTGTGCTAATCTTTAAGAATACAATAATGAAAAAGGCCCAATTTATTTGCTCTTCTATAAATTACCATCTATTATAAAAAGTAGCCTCAGTATATAACTGTAAAAATGACAGTCATTAGGTTCCCACAATATTCAGTGTGGGAGTTGAGTTCTTTATCCTGATGGCATTTTATGACATTACTTTGCTGCCAACTACCAAATTCAAAGTTTTGATAGTACGTGTCAGACAGACATGATCTGCCAGCATGCATTATTCCTCCCTACTGATTAATCTCTAAAGATAAAATGAACACTTAAAGCCATGGGATTCTCCAAATCCAAAAGTGAACAAGGCTCCAAAAAGTTAAAACAGTCTTCAATGTGTTTCAAAATCCTCTGTCTCAGCTGTGCCGTACAAGTTGTGAGACATGCCTCTTGTTAGCTAAAATTTGAGAATTCATCTCTGTTTTAGTGACTTTCTTTTTACTTTCTATTTCTTTGCCCTATGTATCTCCTTCTTATTGGTGTTTCATCTCCAAATAATAACTTTCTTCTGACTGAGATGGGCTACTCATGTATGGTAACTAGTAACAGATTACTGGTAGAGGTTTCTCTTGTGTGAGCATAAATGGCCACATCAGACACAAATATATTCTTGCATGTCACTATTTGGTGAAAACTGATAACTTTGATCCCATTCTTTTAAAACTATGCGCTAGATTTCAGATATATGAAATCATCAACAATTTTGTCCCACTAAATATTTAGTAGAGATACCATGTATCTACGATACTTAATATTTAGAATTTATTAAGGCAAACAAGTGGATAGGAAATTATCAATAACATACTTGAGTAGTGGACTAGTTATAAATGCATCTGAATCTATATCAGAACAATAACCAAGAGGGACCGCTGGAACTATGTGAAATCAGAGTAACACAGTACCCAATGCCCATACCACCACATCTTGCTTTAGCAGAAGTCAAATATGAACTGTGTAATTCTGTGTTGTCCTGGAGAGATCCTCTTTTCTGCTCCCCTTCAACACCCTGGCCTGGCATTCATACCATTGCTTTGAGATGATTAACATCAATTATATCATGCCTTTGTCCTTATTTTCATGAGTCACTTTAAAACCAAAAAACGACAACAAAAACCTTTTATCTCCCAAAGCAGACCTCATCACCACATTCTAATCCTATCATATGTTGTTATAGTATGTTTTTTTAAAGCCTATCTCCCACCACTCTCTACTTCCAAAAATCCCCTCACTGTATCCAATGAAACCCATTATCATTCATCAGAAAAAATCCTGTATATCTTTAACCTCTACTCCGAATATTTCCTGTGTTTTCTTGCTTTTATGGAAACCAGTTTTTCTTAGAGCACTTTTTTTCCTTGTCAGTCTTTTCAAGTGGGGAAAGCCTATACTCCTCTGCTCTACGTGGGAGACAGATGTGCCCCGTGATCTTCATTGTCAATTTCAAACCATCCTTAAAATCCCACAAACTTTGAATCTTATTCCATAAGACCATAACACTCTTTACTCCTTTTTATCATAATCTATGGGAAATAAATGTGAAAATTCTAAACCCTCCAACTGGCTGAATGGGTTATCTCTTGGCCATGGGGACCCCCGAATAAGCTTGGTCGGCCCTGAAAGGGGTTAAGAGGTCAGACATGCCCTCTTACAGCCCTTCCCTTGCTAACCACTACTAGTCTTTCTTCTAAACAGAAAGCAGTCCTTTCAAAAGACTCCACAACCAATATCAACCAACTTTCTGACATTACACCTCCTTTTTTCCCTGATAAGAGACCATCAATCATGGAGTGGTTCTGGTCAGATTATGAACAACATGCAATAAAGGTTTTCATGTCCTCCACTTCACTGTTTGATGTTAGAAGGCTGAAAACTGCACCCTTGGATCATGCTAATGCTGCCATTATTATTATTATTATTTGTACCTGAGGCCCATGAAAGAGCATAAAGCCCAATTGTGCATGTGCACATTTCACCTTTAATAAATATTCATGATTCCTCCTATAGCTTACTGAATATGTATGTTCAGCCACTCAGCTCAGCATAAATTCCTCCAAGTGTTTGTCTCTGGCTTCTACACACAGGCCACACTTTCTAGCCTGTCAGAATGGCCACCCTGCAGGCTATAAGCCTTTATGAGAAATAAAGCTCACCTTTCCAAATCTATGACCCTCATCTTTCTTCAATTGACATCTATAAACCCCTGGTGCTCACCTCCTTGTGCCTATAAGCTTCTAGATCCTGATTGGCACTTTCTTTTATACCAGCCTTCTAGAATCTGCTATCCATTGATCCCAATATTTTATTTTTCTGTCCCTAAACCTCATTCTACATTTATTTCTCATTTTAATCCCCTTAAATTTCATTGTTCATCATTAAAATTACTTCCTTATATATACCATGAACTCCTTCATTTTTCCTTTACTCCTTAATTGCTTGGGAAAAATCCATACTGCAAATACATCTATTGATCCACACTACACAACTGCACCTCCTCAGCTGAACATAGTTGGTAGAAAACACAACCACACACGAATACCTCTTTACATTCATGATTATGATCTTATTCTGAAGAACAGTACAGTCATGTGCCACATAACATTTCAGTCAAGATAAATGATATACAACAGTGATCATATATGATTGCAATGGAGTCAAAAAATTCCTGTTGCCTAGTGACATCCGTTGTAGCCATCATAACATCACAGCACAATGCATTACTCACTTGTTTGTGGTGGTACTGCAGCCCACCAAGCCCGAGCACCCCACCACCACCCACCCTCCGGCACCTTCCCCCCACCCCTCCCCCCCCCACCCGCGGCATGGGCTCTTGCATGGCCAGAGCCTCCCTGACTAGCGCCACCCCCTGAGCAGCAGGCGCAGGTCCCACCAACCGCCCAAGGGTTGAGGAGTGAGGCCGCACTGTGTGGGACTGGCAGGCAGCTCCACCTGCAGCCCCCCTGCCAGATCCACTAGGTGAAGCCAGCTGGGCTCCTGAGTCTAGTGGGGACTTGGAGAACCTTTATGTCTAGCTAAGGGATTGTACGTACACCAATCAGCACCCTGTGTCTAGCTCAAGGTTTGTAAATACACCAATCAGTACTCTGTATCTAGCTAACCTAGTGGGGACTGGGAGATCTTTTCTGTCTAGCACTCTGTGTTTAGCTAACAGATTGTAAACGCACCAATCAGCACTCTGTGTCTAGCTCAAGGATTTTAATTGTAAATACACCAATCAGTACTCTGTGTCTAGCTCAAGGTATGTAAATACATCAATCAGCACCCTGTCAAAATGGACCAATCAGCTCTCCGTAAAATGGATCAATCAGCTCTCTGTAAAATGGACCAATCAGTAGGATGTGGGTGGAGCCAGATAAGGGAATAAAAGCAGGCTGCCCCCATGGGTACACTTCCACATTGTGGCAGCTTTGTTTTTTCGCTCTTTACAATAAATCTTGCTACTGCTTACTCTTTGGGTCCACCAGCCTTTATGCGCTGTAACACTCACTGTGAAGGTCTGCAGCTTGACTTCTGAATCCAGCGAGACCACAAACCCACCGGAAGGGAGAAACTGCAGACACATCTGAACATCTGAAGGAACAAACTCTGGACACACCATTTTTAAGAACTGTAACACTCACTGCCAGGGCCCGTGGCTTCATTCTTGAAGTCGGTGAGACCAAGAATCCACCAATTCCAGACACAGTACTACTATAAACAAACCTACTGCACTGACAGTCATATAAAAGTACATACAATTATGTACAGTATTTAATACTTGATAACAATAATAATTATGTTAACAGCTCATGTATTTACTATATTATAATTTTTAATTGTTATTTTAAAGGGCACATCTTCTACTCAAGGGTAAAAAAAAAACTAACTGTAAAATAGCCTCAGGCAGGTCCTTCAGGATGTGTTCCAGAAGAATGCATTGTTATCATAGGAG